TAGGTAACTGTTGGTAAAATTACTATGAAATGGATAATGTGAAAAAGCTGTTTGTTACTATATTTACTTTTTATACACAAAAGAAGACTAGAAGGAATATGCATACACTTTGCCTTATTGATATTAGAGACAAGAAAACATTATTTTGGGCTAATGGAAAGTGTTTTCATTAATCCTGCCAAGTATACATTTGGAGAAAACAAACCGTTATGCAGAGCAGATTTCTGACATTGCTTCTCTAGTTCAATCCATGCTGCTGAAGTAGCATTTAGAATTATTAAAGGAAACGTCATTATCAAGTTCTATGGCTGCGGCAAAGCTTGCTGTGCTCTGAATACCATTTGCAAAATTATCTGACACCTTACTGGGATGTCTTCTCTTTTGCAGTGGTCATGAGAACAAAGCCTTAGGTTGGTCACATGACCAAAACTGGATATTGACTGGAACAGCTTTTCCACCATTAAAGCTAACTATTTCAGCTATTCTTTAACTCTTTATTAATCCATTCCAAGATGACTTATAACATAGCTACAACCGGACCAGGGGCGAAACTACTAGCGGTGCAGCCGGTGCGGCCGCCCCAGGGCCCAAGGCAGTTGGGGGGCCCAGTAAGATCTGGATATTGTGAGCATGTGGGCAGAGGGGACTGAGCGGGGCCCCTTTGAAATGGCCGCCGCAGCGGCAATCACTCTTCTTAGCTCTCTCCTCTCATTGAGAGGAAAGAGCTGAGAAGAGTGATCGTCGCTCTCGATCACTGAAGCGGGCACAACACGAGGGAACTACTGCAGGTTGTACCAGAGCCCCCGGGCTGGGGGGGGCCCAGTGAGGACTGGTCCTGGGCACCCCCGCCATTGGTGGAATTTTGTTCAGTCCAGGGAACTGGGGTCGACGGGCTTCTCAGAAAGGGGGCGGGTCCTGTGACTCACCGCTCCTCTCCCGGCCGCGTCCCTAGTAATAGGCGGCGGGAAAGGAGAGTGTGGCTGTTTTACATGCCCCACCCCTGCACACTGTGTGGACAGGATGCTGTCGGGCTCCAGGTGTTCTATTGAAACTTCCAACTAAACTCTGCACAGACCACCCAAGAACCGTACAGCCACCATTAACCACGCACAGACCACCATAAACTCTTCAGAGAGCACCTGAGAACCGCACAGCCACCATTAACCCTGCACAGACCACCATAAACTCTGCACAGACCACCTGAGAACTGCACAGCCACCATTAACCTTAAACTCTGCACAGACCACCTGAGAGTATAATCAGCAATTGCCTTTTTTTTAAAATAAAAATACTCTTTTCACCTTTATTAATTCTTTAGTGGTTAGTGGGGTTAGTGGTTGGGGGGGGCTAAGAAAAAATCTTGCACCGAGGCCGTTTGTTTCTTAAGTCTGCCACTGAACCGGGCTATAATTATACTTTAAAGAGAATCTCTAATTTGCCAATGCCGGACAAAGCAAAAGGTTTACTTTAATTCAGAGCTCCACAGGCATACTTAAATTCTTTTCTCTCTCCCACCACTTTGTTCAGCTCCTGGGAGTAAAAGGAAATCCCTGTAAGCTCTGGGTCACTGGAGTCCTAGCTTGCACAGTGCTATGTACTCCCCACATGACAGCTCTGGTTGGCTTAGTTCTATCATATGGAGCGGGTCACCTATTCTTCCATACCTGGAAGTACTGGAAATTTCCCTCGGCTCTTGTCACTGGATAGAGTGTAGAGAACAAAGTAAAGACAGGTTTATGCTGCCCTGAATTAGCAAATAACAGAATTTTGGGTGGATAAAATATCTGAATGATATGTTCACAAATTATTATTTAAGACCTTTTTCTAGATGTTGTTGAGTTAGTGTATAAATGATATAACCTCCCCCAACACATTAAGTAGAAACATACTTCATGTCAATCTCAGCCCAAACTTATTACAGTTAGGGCAGATGTTAAGAATGTTTACATTTTCTAATGATGAAATGCAAATCCAGTTATGACATCCTTGGTTTATTAATACATATTAGTACATGAAAGCTTTATTTTATTCCAGGATATGGCTAGGTTAAGGATTATTTTGTATTCATTGGCATCTACTCTGCTCATTTTGCTTGCTTACATCTGAATCAACATAATCATTAAACCAGTCCAAAGAGTCAGGGAGCCTTCTCACTGACCTCCATGCATCAACAACTTTGTTGAACAACTTCAGGTTTTTCTGGAGCTAAAATATACCTTTTTATTATTAGGTTGTATTCATAAAGATATGAATACAGCAATTCTCAATTGCAGCACATAGTGTTGCTGATTTATAAAGACTGGAAATAAATTTCCAGTGATATCTATAGTTGACAATCACATTATATACTGTATATTATATTATTTAAAGCGTGACTGCAGACAAACAGACAAAATACACCATTTAAGTACAGATATGTTTACTGCCAAATGATTTGCAATCTTCATGTATATACATCTGTCAAATTCCAGAGCCAGGTAGGTGAAACATATTCTTTGGTTGAGTAAGACTGACCATACACTGATAGTTCTTTCTCATTCAGCCTGCTCAAAAAAACACTTGATTTTTCCATCCACACTCCCCTGCAGGGCTACTGTGTTCTGGCATCCGTAATTTACAGTTGTGAGAATAGACAAACAGTTTAACAAGACCTTGCCTAGAATATGCAGTTCAGTTTTGAGACCAAATGGAACTAGAAAGGGCAAGTATATGAATAAAAGGGCATGGTGCTCCTTACCTATAAGGAATTATTAACTGATCTGGATTTGTCATTCGTAAAATACAGAAAATAAGGGAAGATATAATCGCCTAGTATAAATAAATCTATAGCCCTTAAGGAATTCAGAGGACAGATTATTCTACAGGGGAACTTTAGTTACTAAGAAAAACAAAAATCTGCAAGCAGGCTTTTTGTTGCAGAACAGATACTATGGGGTTGGTTTACTAAAGCAAATAGGCTGTTCACCATGCAAGGGAATTTTCCCTTACCTGAATGTAGTGAAAATGTACTTTGCAAAGAATACCCAATCATGTGCAAAGAAATGTAAAAAAGAAAATAGTACATTTGCTTGAACATGATTTGATGATGGAAGTCAGCAGAGTTTCACAAAGGGAAACAGCCTATTATCAACCTGTATGTCCCGTTTCCAATTAAGCCATTTTACCTGCATGCATTCTATAGACAAGGGGTCTCAAACTCAAATCACTTGGGGGCCACTGGACAAATTTTCTTCTCCCATGGGGGGTTGCTTGGCAAATTTCATACATCAAAACAAAATACAGTATAATATTGTCTGCGTGTGTTTATAATGGCAGTATATGTGTTTGTGATGGTTTCTTTGTATGCAATGTCAGTATATTTTTTTGTGATGGTTTGTGTGTTTGTGTGTGCGTGCTTTGTTGGTATGTGTGTTAATGTTTCTGTGTGTGTCATACAAATCACTTTGTGTATAGTCCATATGTGTGCAGTGTCAGTGTGTGTATTTTTCCCACATGTTTTAGTTTTAATCATACAAGACTAACAGATTCACACATTTACTCACACACAGAAATCCACACACACACAGAAATCCACACACACAGAAATATGCGCACACACAAAAATACACACACAAACAGAAATACGCGCACACACAGAAATACACACACACACAGAAATATACACACATATAGAAATACGCACACACACACAGAAATAAACACAAACAAAGAAATATGCACACAAAGAAATATGCACACACATAGGAATATGCATACAGAGAAATACACCCTTACACACAATAATACACAATATAACACACACACAACACACACACAGAAATACACACACACACAGAAATACACACACACACACACACACACACCACCTTCTTAAAATAAAAAAGAGCCCCCTCACCTACTTACAGTTTTTGCAGGTAGGGGGCACGTTCCCTGGTGGTCCAGTGGTTGATTAGTACGGTCTGCACCTTTGGCAGGTGTTGACCTTGCTAATCTTTCCTTTAGACTAGGATATGCTGTCTTGATTTTGTCTGACACATTCCCTGGTGGTCCAGTGGTTGATTAGTACAGTCTGCACCTTTGGCTGGTGCAGACCTTACTAATCTATCCTTTCAGCCGGCGCTCAGTGAAGGCTGTCAGAGCGCCGGCCGAAAAGAACTACTGAGCGCCAGCACATGGTACCGGTTCGCGGGCTGGAATTGGTCTGCGGGCTGTTACTTTGAGACCCCTGCTGTAGACTGTATTTACATCTCAGTGTACAATCTTGGCATGCTGAGATAAATTACCTCCCATGCTCAAAGGCAGGGTTTACATAATTCTGGGCTGGGTAATCAAGATGGGCAAAGATGTCAAACAGAAAAAACCTGGCACAGATGTCAGACCTGGCAAAGGAAACTTAAAGACATTGCTTCCTTGGAGGGAAGGTGAGTATAGATGACTCTAGTTCTGCTAAAGGGGCACTGCAAATCGGCAATGGACATGAGGGAAATCCTTCCACTGCAAGAAAAGTGGGTTACCTCTATATATGGAGAGGGTTATTATAGCACACTGAGCCATGCTTTATAAGGTTTTCTTGCCTTCCTTTAGAACAACTAGGGGTTAAAGATTCTGATAGTGCAAGGTCTTTATTTTTACCTATTTATGTATTTACATACTTTTACTTGTTTTTTTTTTTAATGTGTCTTTTGTGTAACTAAGGAAAAGTATATAAATATCTTTTTTTAGATAAAAGGTATGCATATTTCATCAAATATTTATCTATTTCCATGATGTTCTATTTTAATCTTCACTCAGAACAGAAACAGGTAAATATTTTTCTGTTAGGCTAGTGTTATGGAGTAAGATGAACACTTTTATGTTGAAATAGGTTAATGCTGTAAATTGTATCACCCAGACCAGGATTTTAGTTTGTGTTGATCTTGTATTTATGCTGAATTTCAGGTTTATTCATCATTTGGTGCATATAGGATTTCAGTGTTTTCTTTCTGTGTTTTGGTTTTCAGACTACAGAACAGGACCCTGCTTTACTCAAATCACCAATCAGATGTGTCAGGGTCAGGTGACTGGTATCGTCTGCACAAAAACTCTCTGCTGTGCAACCATCGGACGTGCTTGGGGGCACCCATGTGAGATGTGCCCTGCTCAGCCACAACCTTGCCGCCGTGGCTTCATTCCCAACATACGCAGTGGAGCCTGCCAAGGTAAATAGCTTCAAATTAATGTGTACTGTTTGTGTAATACATGTATTTCCTCCATATAGCATAAATCAGTGTATTTCACTGTGAAAGTAACTGTCACCCTCTCTGCAGATAAACTACATCACATGTCTTTGTAATGCATGCTTTTATATGAACCCAAGTCATTTGTTGTTCTAGAAAATGGCAACCTAATGCAGCCATTTGTGTCCATAGCAACCAATTACCATAATATTACAAATAATTACAATAATGCGTTTCCTGACATATAAACTGTATTCAGTTGGCTTAGAAGGGCCATTCCTGAGAGTTTTGCAGTGTTTCGTTACCCTCTCTGTAAAAGTAAGGGTTCCAAGCAGCCTTTTGTCAGTGTGTGTTGACGGGAACATGAAGTAGGTAGGGACAGATCACAGATTGTTTGCAAGGAGAGATAGTTGGTACTATACTGCTATTATACAGTACTGCTGTTGAACACTTTTATATTTTCATTCAGTCACATACACAATCAGTGTGTGTTGAACATACCTGCATAGAACACAAATAGGAAAATTTATCAAAACTGGAGCAGACAAAATCTAGAGCAGCTGTGCATGTCAACCAATCAGCTTCTCTCTTTCATTTTCAAACCTTAGCTCTGTCTGCTCCAGTTTTGATCAATTCCCCCCAAAGTGTTTACAAGGAGAAATATTTGCTTTATTTATAGTCAGTCATATAATTAGTCAGTGTGTGTTGAAGACTTATGGCAGATAGGGTTAGATTTGTTTGCAAGGACAGATAGTTGCTGTTATACTAACACAATACAGTACTGCTGCTGAAGTCTGCTATATTTACAGTCAGTCAAATACACTGTCAGTGTGTGTGTTTTGGAGACTTGGAGCAGAGAGGGAGAGATCACACAGTCTTTGCAGGGAGAGATAGTTGCTGATATACTATACAGTTTGGCTAAAAGGTGCAATACCCAATGTATAGTGCCACATTACAGTCAATTGCAGTGTGGTGGGCTCCATTGTGTGTAATGTGATATATATGATTGTGTACCCCTCCCAGTGTACACCTCCCAGTGGATAGACCCAAAAGTCCTTTCTAGGACTTTCTAGGACTACATTTTAAGTTATGTAAAAAAAAAACATAAAAAGGCCTGGGGCTCAGTGTTTTAAAGCCCATCTCCAGGCAATCAAAGAAGTATCCTTGCAGTGGGGTCTACCCCTGCACAGCAAAGGTTAAGTGCTTGTTTTTGTCTGAAGGCTGGAGTAAAACAGATTTATTTATGCCAGCAGTCAGTGCTCACTTCTCTCCCCCACCGCTCCAAGTGTGGAATATCCTTCGGCACTCTCATGTCTAATGTAGGTCTATGGAACAAGTATTAGACATGATGACGTCAGCCATCTTTAGACTACCAGAGCCCAGGGGAGCAGAGGCTGTGGGGACCAGTGTGGCAGCCCGGGGGAGGCGGCAGCAGGGATCAGGTAAATAAATCTGCTTTGCTTCAGTTCTGAGACAACAATGAGCAAATAACTCTTGCAGTGATGCTGCTAACTATAGAAGGTAATTCCACATTTTTATACCTCAGTAACAACCTTACGCAGCCTAAAATTAAACCACTTCTCATACAACTTCATGTTGTGGCCTCATGTCATCTTCTGAGTTCTTAGTTTAAACAGTTTATTCCCAATACTGCAGTCAGCATTGGTGAATTCTAGATTGTTATTATATCCCCTCCTATGTGCCTCTACTCCAAGGAGAACAAGTTTATTTACTGTAGGGGATCTTCATTATTTAGGCCTTCAGTTCCCTTTATTAATTTTCTTACCCTTCTCTGAGCTCTCTCATCTTCAAGAACATCCTTCCTAAAGGTTGGTGACCAGAACTGAACTGCATACTCAAGATGTGGCTTTGCCACTGATTTATAAAGTGGTAGAATTATGTTTTTATCTCTTGCAAAAATCTCTCTTTTAATGCAGGAGAGTATCCTACTCGCTTTGCTAGCTGCAGCTTGGCATTGCATGCTATTGCTGAGTCTGTGGTCTGTAAGAACTAGGGCTGCAGCAACTAATCGACATAATCGATTATAATCGATGATTGAAAAAGTTGTCAATTTTTTCAATCATCGATTAATCGGATTCCGGTTAGTTGGCCCTGTTCACGGCCCCACACACCCTGCACGCTGCACCTCCATCTCATGCTCGCCGCTGCCAGACCCGCCCACATCCACGCTCCACACGCTGCACCTTCTCACGCTCACCGCCCGCCCACATCCACGATCGGCGCGGGGAGAAGTAAGGAGGAGCAGGTGTGGGGGGATGACAGCCGCTGATAGACAGGCCCGATCTCAGAAGCAAGTTGCTGGAAGACTGCTCAGGTAAGCCTGCACTTTCCCCCACATGGTGCTCTATAATGTATTGCTGGGATTTGTATTCCCCTATAGCTGATGGTACACTGTGCTGTATATTATACATAGGAATACAAATCCCAGCAATACATTATACACTGTATGTATGATGTATTGCTGGGATTTGTTATATTCCTATATAGCTGGTGGTATTCTGCGTTGCGCTGTATAGAGGACTACAAATCCCAGCAATAATACATTATACAGCGCAATGCAGAATAACACCAGCTATAGAGGAGTATAACAAATTCCAGCAATAGTACATTATACAGCGCAACGCAGAATACCACCAGCTATAGAGGACTGCAAAACCCAGCAATAGTACATTGTACAGCACAATGCAGAATACCGCCAGCTATAATGTACTACTGCTGGGATTTCTTGTACTCTATAGCTGGTGATATTCTGCATTGCGCTGTATAATGTACTATAGCTGGGATTTGTAGTCCTGTATAGCCGATGCCATTCTGCATTCATTGCTGTATAATTTAAAATTTTTCATTTCACTATATTGCACACCACACTTTTTTCTTTCTTTTTTACTTCCACCGCTCCAAGCTTGCTCTTGTGATGGACTACAATCTCAATACAAACTAGTAGTCCCATCACTGGAGCCATTTAAAAAAAATGTATTTTATTTGATTGTTTTATCCGATTAACTGATTAATCGGACTTGATAATCGGTACCTAATCAATTTTGAAAATAATCGTTAGCTGCAGCTCTAGTAAGAACCCCCAGATCTTTCACCATCTATGACTTCTCCAGAGGAGCACCTCATCGATAGTAATTTGAATGCACGTTCTTAGCTTCCATGAGCATAATTTTACATTTATCAATATTGAATCACATCTGTCATGTTGCTACCTAATTTTATCTAGGTCTAGCTGCAGTGATTCTATGTATTGTTGTCAAGTTATTGCCCTACATAGCTTGGTATCATCAACAAACACTGAGATTTAGCTATTTATCCCAACCTCTATATTGTTTATGAATAAGATAAACAGAATTGGTCCCAGAACTGTTCCTTTGGGCATTCCACTAGCGACTTTTGGCCATTTTTAATTGAGCCATTTATCACTACCCTCTGGATCCATTCCTGTAGCCAGTTTTCTACTCATGCACATACTATTTCTTTAATACCAATAGACCTTTATTTGTAAATTAAACATTTGTGGGGTACTGTATCAAATGCTTTAGCAAAGTCCTGATAAATTACATCTTTTAAAGCTTCCCCTCTCTAAATTACTACTCACTTCCTCATAAAATATTAATAGGTTGGTCTGACAAGAACTCTCCTTCATAAATCCATGCTGGTTGTTACATATGATACCATCAAAGGCAATATACCGTATATACTCGAGTATAAGCCGAGATTTTCAGCCCATTTTTTTGGGTGAAAAGTGCCCCCCTCGGCTTATACTCGAGTCAGCTTGCTCTGGTGTCACTTTTTTAAAATATATTCAATAAATATTCATGTAATTTTATTGGTATCTATCTTCATTTTGTACATTTACCAGTAGCTGCCTCATTTCCCACCCTCGGCTTATATTCGAGTCAACACTTTTTCCCAGTTTTTTTTGGTAAAATTAGGTACCTCGGCTTATATTCGGGACGGCTTATACTCGAGTATATACGGTAGTTGATTACCATTCCCTTAAATACTTTGCATACTATTGATGTTATGCCGACCATTTTTGAATATTGGTACCGCATTTCCTTTTCGTCAATCAGTCAGTACCATTCCATTCGTTAAAGTGTTCTTAAACATTAGGAAGACAGGTTTGATTATAACCTGGCCAATTTCTTTGTCCTGACCAGGAGTTCTGGTCCTGGGGATTTATACTTAATGAGTTCTTCTAGACTCTTCTTTTACTTGGATCTCTGTCAGCTACTGATGTACCTTTAGTGCCAGTGGTGTGCTCCATTCTCTATTCTTTACAGCCACCAGCGAATTTGCCCCAGGGTCCAATGGAGCACATGTCGGTGATGAGGACCCTACCACTGACTATGTGATCCAGTGACAAAGAGGCATTACCTTCCACATGCTGTGGAAGGGCAAGAATGGCCTTCTGGGGAAATAATTAGCGACTGGGTACCTTCAACTGTGGTGCAGCACAGACCATAGACTTGCAGAAAGGGGCTGACTAAACCAGCTGGAATAGGAACAGCTGTAAATCCAGCAGTTTTGCCAAGCTAGCATTGAGACACGGGAGGGGGGGCATGTTTGGGGGACAGTTTTTTCTTCTGGTCCAGCAGCTGGGAAAGAGGTGCCTGCCCAGTCAAGGATGTTGCTGAAGACAGCAGGGAGGGGTTTGGAGACTTACAGTGCGGTGAAGCCTATGCTTAGCACTTGGCATGGCCCCCATGATGACCCTCCTCCCCCACATGATTTACAGTAAAGTAAACCTCCCAAACCTTTTCTCAAACTTCCCTTCCTATCATATAACTTCAGGCTGCAGATTTTGCCACAGATGGAGAATCATGTTGAGTGAGGGGAGAGGTGGAAAGTGAGAAACAAGGAGGAGTGTGGGCCTTTTGCTGCCGACCGATATAACTGAGTTGCTGCTCCCACCGAGCTCTGTAATGCATAGTCATATGTTTCCTCATGCATGTGGT